GGACTTCTGGATATCAAACATAAAGAACCTGTTTGAAGCGTAATTGCTGTACGAAAATTAGATTTTGTTAAAAAGGAGGTTCGCCCTTCATATGCTGCATAATGTATATTTAGTCGAAGGATCAGAAAGAAAATACATCTACCTGCACGTGTTTTGCAAACAAAATATCCAATTACCAAAAACTCCCAAAGCATACGTTAAATCTACTGACTTTGCGGTTGTCTTGACAAAATTTTTCAAAGAACAAATTGAATACATCGAAAATAAAATTTGAATGTCTCCTGGTGACAGGGCTCATTTGTTCTAGACGCTAATTACAAATTATTAGCAAGATTTGACTTCTAGCATTTCAAGTGTGTTTTTCATGATCTCAAAATGCAAGATATGGTACTTCAACACGAAAGTATCAAGTTGTTTGTCTTGTAAGAAAATAATACAAGAGGCGTAAAGTTCACCAGTTGCTTTGAAATTAGGAACCATTATCCACGAATAACAATTTTTTCTTGAACCTTTGTGGCTTGAGGACGGAGCGGAATAGTTCTAGAAATTATCCACACAATTACTCGTTCCATAACGACCATGTTTGAATGAAAAGTACGAGTATGTGAAAATTATATTGTATTATTACATTCAGCGTCAAAAATCTTGCTACCAGGGTTAAGAGCGTTGAACTTAGAGCGAGCCTAATTTCTGGCTACCGTGTAAGATAAGACAGCGTTAAAGTTATAATTCCTACTAAATGAGGGTTGTCGTTTTAGATGTACTGAATTATGTATGGTTTCTTATCATAGCAGAGCCAGTCAAGGCACAGCTGATACTGAGTGCTTCAGAAATAAAATATGTAAGTTTCGTGTAATACTTGGTATGGACCGAAGGTACAATTTTTTGTTTTGTGCCGATGTTTGGTGAAGCCGAATCTTGGGTTTATAATAAATGTGTGAGCTGGTTTATAAGGATAAAGTAGTAGAATGCACCCTTGGCTATGTTTCTTATAGGTTGGTTCTAATGCGATACGACATCGAAAAATTTAGATGAAACGTGATGATATGCAGATGACTATGAAGACCTAACTCCATTAAAGATGTTGCATTTGGATTAAAATAATGTAAATATGAAAGTTATGTTGGAGCGACATTTTAAGTAATATACGAGTATATCAGCGGCATCTAGAAAAATTTTAAAATTGGTATTATCTTTGGAAATGAACCGAAAATTCCTGATGTCCTCATTTTTTCAGACTTACGTACGATACTGGCAATAAAATGTGGAATCTTTATCGCTTTAATTGAAGAATTTTTTTTATACCCCAATCACCACGAAGGCCTAAGGCCTAAACACCCATTAGGTACCGTGGCGCTATAGGGGATACAGGGGAAAGGGGGACGCCACACGGACTCTGGCGAGGGAACACATGTGCATGCAACATGCACACATTCTGGCCCCGCCTATGAGATCCGCCGGGTGGTACCTCCGCGTTCGACAATCAGAGACCGTCTACCACCTACGGACAATCACAACATCCACAGCCAAGAGAAAAATTTCTCCTAGGACGGGATTCGAACCTGCACAGCCAATTATGTAATTAGTTGCTACAGAATAGGATAAACTAGGAGCCCACGTATATGTGAAGGTTACTTAGCGACTTACAATAAAGACCAAGGTTGTCTGCATATTTATTGCCTTGGTACGAGATATTTCACAAAACTTCTCGTGACGAGAGATTTTCTGGAACCTGCGGCCAAATCTTAAACCTTTTCTGGCCACAAGGGCGAAGCCGAACATTATAGGACTTCTATTGGCTGGCCGAATCAAACCACATATACCTTTCAATGTCTGTTTATTTTACGACATTTCATTCCTATGAACATGAAAACCTTAGTATAAGTTTCACGAGTTACATTAATCAATAAAATTTAAGTTAATACTAGTTTATACTTACGATTCTACAACCCTATCTATGATCTTGCCATTAAACACGTCTTTTGGAGTTTCCCAAACAATTGTTGGCCGCCAAATGAAACCAATTGTGAACCGTATGCCATACAGGTTTTTCCTATGGTATGTTATTGAATTTCAAATTCGGAGATATTTTGTTTCGCCATCGTGAAATCAAACTGTTCAGTCTTATAGTATTATTTTCTCACAAGACAAACAGAAGTCCGTTGAGATATTGAAGTACTATTTTCGGATTCCGCGAGCAATGCAGATGGCGTGAGGCAAAAAATAGGCGCATGCATTTTTGTCGCTTTGGAGGCATTTTTTACAGCGGAAATGCCTACACACGGCAGTCCTGGACATTGCTTGGTGTGTGAGGTGCCATTTTGATTATTGCTTCATATGTGGATCAGGATCCCGCGTGTCATTAGCTTTTAAGGACTGTGTATTGTAAGGCAAAAATAAACAATCTGTCATTTGGAAGACAGATAAATCGGATATATTCTCATTTTGAAGTGTACTTTGGAAAAGATCACCAAGGTGGCCGAAACGTTTGTAAACTTCAACCTCAACGTCTACTGTTTCATATAGCAGTCAGAATTTTTTACAAATAATAGCTGGTAACGGAAACACTTGTCTACTTATCATATGAAGTTTGTTAATTTTTTGCCCTTTGTGAACAAGCCCCTAAGTGGAAAGAATGCATAGCGAGGGATATTAGCATAAAGCGGAGTTATCTAATTAATCAGATTTGCAAAATACAGCGACCACGTATTTTAGAAACAAATTGAAGTTAACAGTTAACACCTCATCTGCACAAATTGAATCTAAATAGATTCAGAAAGGTATCCAAAGCAAAAACTTAAAAACAGTTAACTGTGAAAGAAGACTGCTTAGAGGTCTCTGGCTACGTAAGTGGAAAACAAGATTGAGAAATTAATTAGTACTAGAAGGTGAGTGGTTACGTTACCTTTTAGGTGAGTTGACTTGATAATATTTTTTCTTGTAACTGGTGATCGAATTTTAATTTTGAAAAGTTGATATGATGAAATATGTCCCTAATTACTCTTCTGTCAGATTAGTATTTCATTGTCCAACTTCCAACTTATTAACAAAGTTACAGGGAAGTAGGAGGGTTTGGGATGATTCGTAACAAAGGTAAGAGAAATCGGACTCACCAACAGGCATATAAAAACGGTAAAATTGCTTTTAAGGCAGTTAGTTACGCAGATAGAGTATACCAACCTCTTCGTCAGAGTGAGCTTCATATCTCATAGTTTCTCCCCATTTAAACGTTTTTGAATTCTACAGGGTGACTTTGAAGTTGAGTCAGTAATTTTCAGATAATGATTGTAGAAGGAAGATAAACCAAAATATGTGTGTAAAAATAAAAAAAAATTAAAAAAATGTTACCTTGTTTTATAAAGTATCCTCCCGACAAGTATTTCAGTGCGGACCTTTATTTGATCGTGCGGTCTTGGAGCACCGGCATGCCCTCCCCTATGAGGTCTTAAGTCACCTGATTCACGATCACTTTGTACTACATTAACAAAGGTACGAGGGGTTGGTTGCACCCGATTGGGAAACCGATCCGCATAAATCCGTGATGCCGCGGCAGCATTTTGTAAAGACTCCCCCCCGTAAATAAGAATCATGTCCACAAGTTCAGCATTAGTAAACATGTGCCATTTTTTATTTCGTTTGAGCCACGCAAGAAACACCACTATTCACTCTCGCGTTACTGACTGACACATTGACTAAATACAACTGAATAAAATTGTAGTAAAAACATCGTGATGAGCATTTCAAATTCTTTAGATTTTTTGTTTCCGATACGATGAACCGATAAGGCGGATTATATCCGTTGTTGCCAAACACGAGCACATAATATTATTATTGCGACAGGACGGTACTCAAACTTCCAAAGGGCTATAACTTTGTTACTTTAATTTTACCAGAAAAATGTTAAAGGAAAAAAACATTTCTTTTGATCATATCTACTCACTGTTAAAATAAATGACTCAACTTTGAAGTCACCCTGTATATACGCACGGTAATTTCTTGAAAAATTTTGTGTTAACATTTTTGGGAGGTTACTCTCAGAATGAAGCATATAAGAAAAGTGACTCAAAGCTGTAAAAATGTACAGGTTGTTTTTGAGAGAAATTACATTCTGTGTTCATTAATATCCTGTACAGATGATGGAAATCTTCAGATTGATTGACAGCAGTCATGTACAGATCATGCTGTGCTAGTTGAAATGATATTTCGGAACTAAACTAATCCAAACTTCAGGCAGCGCTAACCCTTAGCAGCTGAGTGCAACTAAGCAAATTCAATATCACGTTCTCAGTTTTCAGGATGTTTATGTGGCTGCTACTGCAGTTACACATTCACACATATTGCAATTTATCATCACCATTTCATAATATGAGTTGCGATTTCTGTTTGCGCCCTGATGGAATTTAATTGGCAACTCTTAGCGTCTATGGAACTCGCACATTACATACGCCGTACTCAGAAAAGACAAAAAGTTTCGTTAGGTTTCGTACGCTTTTTGCGTAGTGGGCCTATTTTTAGAACTATCACTCATTTTCTAAACAATGCCCTCTCACATAGTTTAACAGAGTGTGTGTCACTAGTCACGAATCGGTCATAGTTGCTGTCTCCTGTCGTTACTTACGTGATCAATATTTATTATGATTCGCCAATATTTATCCTCGAATCTGATACTTATTGACTGTGTAACCAGGGCGTCAGTAATTATTTATGTGTAAGGCTATAGAAAAATCCACTGACACTGCGGGATTGATCAGTAAATACTGTAACGGAAACACCGTTTTTTTCTATCCAAAGCCTAATTTATTACTTTTACACTAATTTATCACACTTGTACTAATTGACAAGAATGTTTAACCATGTTGACTGGACTACGGCATACACGTTGTGCTTTCAGATTGGTATCAATACCCGCGATTGTGTCGCGAATGGTCCAGAATGCAAGCATGCTCAATGTATGGTCGCATAAAGGCCAATTCCCATCTAAGCAGCATCGAGCGGCGCTACGCAGAGCGACGCCGAGCAGCATGAAGCAGCGCTTTTATGTATCTGTTCCCACCTAAACAGCATGAGGCAGCATACGCGACGCGTAGTTTTGATCTAGCCGTCAAGATGTCATCATCTTCGTCATCAGACGATTTTATATTTCTCGCAGCTGTATGCCATGAACTTGAAAAGAGAAAAAAAAGCAAGCGAAAATATTGGGTCCGTGACATATTTCGTGCAAGGCTGAATGAAGGCGAATTCCATACACTTTTCGGATGACTCCAGCAAGATGAACAGAAATTTTACAAGTACTATCGAATGTCTTCAGAAAAATTTAACCAACTATTCGATCTCTTGCGCATTCCATTAACCAAGCAAAATACAAAATTTCGGCAAAGCATCAGTCCACACGAGAGACTGACAATTTTTCTAAGGTAGGTAAATAATTCATTTAATCTGTGTTATACATTTATTTTTAACTGAGGGAAATATTTCAATATTGTTTTTTATTAACGCAACAAAAAAAGCTAATATTACGCTTGATACTACTGATTCGAAAAAGAACACTAGTTAACAAAATAATCCTAAGAAAACAAACAAACTCACAGCCAACAAAAACTTGAAAATATAATTCTTCACTAACAAAAAATTAAATGACTTAAATATATCTTTGGCATGGTTAGTGAGGTAATGCTGGATTTTCATTAGGAGGTAAGTGGGACCCGAATAGTGAGTATGTAGAAGTGTTTTCACAAAATGAAGAAGATTCGTCTTGTATAGAGGTTTGATTTGACATTGGCGGTCGAATTTGTAGAGGTGGTTGATTCTGCATAGGTGACTGAATTTGCGTTGGTGGCTGAATTGGTACTGCCTGATGAGGTTGCATTGGTGGTTGATTGTGAATCAGTATTTGATTTTCACTTGGAGTTTGTGTTCCCAGATTAAATGAAGAATTTGATAACATTTGTAATTCGTATGAATTTACTATTTGAAACACTTTAGTTTTCACCGAAGCTTGCCACAATGAGGGAAATGTAGCTGTAGTTTTGCCCATATTAACAAAAAATTCTATTAGTGGGCTGTTTTCATTTATCTACGCTTGAAGAACAAGACAATGGTGTGTTTGGCTGTGAAATGGAACGTGAAAGATTTGTACTAATTTCATCATCATAATATTCGCACATGTATTCTCTCTGGCTTTGTGTATTATTTTCCACTTGAGTTTCGACATCATCGTCCTCACTGACATCTTGCGATATTTCGGTAACATTTGAATGAGTTCTGAAATAAATATATTACTGGCTATTAAATTCATAATAATAGCATACTAAAATATAAACGTACTCTCTTCCTTTAATATGAGGCTGAAGAAAAGCCATAGCATCCCAATATTTCCATTTTTTGTTACTTTTGGCAGCTTGTCCACTTTTTGTTAGACTGTTTCTTGCTGCTCTCTGAAAAGCATCTCTTAATGTATTCCATCTCTGCTTACAAACCTCGGCTAAAAAAGTACATGCAATATTATTTTTAACAATCACGAAATTTAAAAAAACTATATATTTATAGTATACGTTTGATGTTTTTTTCAGGTTTTTGGCAACGGGAGCAGACTACCAGACACTGTCTTTCAACTTTAGAATAGGACACTCCACTATACACAAGATTATAAATCATACCGCCAATGTTATTTGGAAGACTTTAGGAAACATTGTTATGCCACAACCCACAACACAGTTACTTCAGTATTGTGCAAACAAATTTGAAAGTACTTGGAACTTTCCTAATTGTGTGGGTGCGATAGATGGCAAGCATGTCACTATACAAGCACCTCCCAGAAGTGGATCCTTGTATTTCAATTAGGTATAAGAAATCATTTTCAGTAGTGTAGATGCAGAATACAGATTTGTTGCGGTGGATGTTGGAGCATACGGTAAAAATAGCGATGGTGGAATATTTAATGATTCAAATATGGGAAGAAGTCTTAAAAATGGAACTTTTGGAATGCCTAAGGATCGAGCCATCACCGCAAATGGCGAATCTTTACCACATGTAATAGTGGGAGACGAAGCGTTCCCTTGTAAAACTTATTTAATGAGACCTTATTCAGGACGCGGATTGTCACAAGATAAAAGGATTTTCAACTATCGTCTCTGAAGAGCTCGTAGACTCTCCGAAAATGCTTTTGGGATTCTTTGTCAAAAGTTTAGAATATATATTCTTGAATAAATTAAATATTCACCCAAAAAATGCCGATAAAATAATTTTATCTAGTCTATGTTTGCATAACTTCCTTAGAAATGACAAAGACTTTTTAACCGTACTAGAGCAAGAAAAAACAGAAAATGAAGCTCCAGTTTTTACAAGTATAACTAACGTTGGAGGAAAATGCTCTAGTGAAGCAATTAAAATAAGAGATGCTTTTAAGGCATATTTTAACTCTGATTCGGGGGCAGTTTCTTGGCAGGAGGATGCAATTAATGCCGGAAAATGGTAGACGTTTTGAAATTTGCGTTTTTTTAAATAAGTCATAAATGCTTAAAAATGTTGCATATTCAGTTGATTTATGTAATTGTTAAGCAATCTAGTAACAGTTTAACGAAAATATCCTATTTGTATCCAATTATTTCTTAAAAAGGACCCGTCAACAATAAGTTCTTTCATATGTTATTTAAATGGATAATTAAAGCAATAGTTAATTAGCACTTACCTTGTTCATTAATTTTATTCCCTATTTCCAACCAAACTATATCCATCCTATTTTGATTACTGTAGTTTTTATTAGCCATATCATATAATTCACTGTATTCACCCACAAGAAGGATAAGCTTTTCGATTTTTTCTCCGTCCATAATTAAAACTGTGATGATGACTTTTTGGCAAAATTCAACAAGTTGCTGCTTGCATGCGAAACCTTCTATTCCCACCTGTCTATCAACAAGCAGAGCCGCGCATGTGTAGCGACAATGCTGCGAGTCAATTCTTCACGAGGAATTAAAATTTTGCTGTGTCGCGCTGCTCTGCTTAGGTGAAAACGGTTTCATTTACTCGTAATTACAAGTAGACAATTGTAAGCAGCATTTGGCTGCACCGCTCGGCTCTGCGTCGCGCCGCTCGATGCTGCTTAGATGGGAATTGTCCTTTAAGGCTCTGACTCTCTTAACGTCGACTCTGCCAAACCGCCTCCCAGCTATACAATACAGTGCGTTACAATACTGACGGACCACAGTATAAAATCATCGTGTTGCATTTACCTAAGGAATCATCTATTGAATTTTGACCACGACGTTATTTACGCACTATATGATAATCATTTTGTGGTAACTGGGATATCGGACTATTTCCTGTCTGGTACTCGCTAGCAACTCTGAATTCAATTTCGGTATAAGTAGCCGAAGGGAATTCTTTCTAGAGGGATTTTGGATGTCAGCCGCCGTGGGCGTAGATTGGAAAGAAATGTCAGGCTCGTTGTTTGAATAAGTTAAAGCGGGGCATCGAAATGGAAAATATAACCTAACGGAATTTTGGATTATATATTCTTTTTTATTTGCGCTCCATTAACGACAAAAGGGTCTATGCAAAATATTTTTTCGTTTGATTTCCTTGTGGGTCGATGGTGGAAATATACTGAGTAAGCACCTACGTATGTTTATTAGAATTCAAGAATTTTTTACATGTCGATTTATCTTGCCATGAACAAGAAGTGGTAAAATGGTCAGGTTTCTCCGTTAAGTTTTTGTAGTGGCTACGTGTATTGTTTGGTAATAAAGAAACATTCAGTTTTCGTAGATTTACGGTGGCAGTTAAATGTTGAATTTCGTGTAGCGTGTGAACGAGCGTGGACTCAGGAAGGTTGTGGACAGAGAGCGAGGAGTACAAGACCGCCGGTTGAGACTTCTGGCTCTGAGGGACAGATTCAGTAGTACTCGAGCTATCGCTAATCAGTGGTTTGAAGAGCATAGAAGGATGGTTGGTATGCGTATGGTATATCGCCGAATATGACAGTTTGGCCTTTTTTCTTATCGCCCATACTGGGTGCTACCTCTCACAGCTGAACAGCGGCGTAACCGTTTGCTCTGGTGTAGAGAAAGAATTCTATGGGACCGAGAATGGAATCAGGTGGTTGTTAGTGACAAATCCCGCTTCTGTCTGAGGATGCACGATGGTCGGGCAAGAGTGAGACGGCGACGTGTTGAAAGATGTGACCCACAATTTGACAGAGAGCGTCACGCTCACCACACTGTGGGAGTTATGGTATGGGGTGCTATTGCTTATGGTAGCTGATCACCACTAATTTTGATCAGAGGCAGTATGACGGCCCGACGCTATATTCAGAAAGTAGTGGAGCCTCATCTTATTCCATACCTAAACACCACCCAAAACCCGATCTTTCATCAAGACCGCATGTTGCCAGAGCATCGTTAGCCTTCATGGATCAACATCGCATCAACCGTTTACCTTGGCTACCACGATCTCCTGACCTCCAATTGAACATGTCTGGATATAGGACGCAGGCTCTCGAATTTGCAACAACCTCCACAGACTTTAGCAGCTCTTACTCACGAAACTGCTGTAGCCTGGAATGAGATACCCCAGCAGGATATCGACCACTTTATGTGATTAATAAAAACAATTGTCATGGCTTTTATTTTTCACAGCCACCTATGCGTTATAGACTTATTTTGCATTGAAATGAAAATAGGTTCATATGCTGTAATTGCAACATGTGTTATTTTTATGCTGCAAATTTGATTAGAGAGTGATAAAGTTGACGTTTTCTACTATATATTATCAAAATATTCATTGTTAATATACTAAGTGACATATAAATCCGAACACCCAGTTTAAACGGTTTTATTATAATAAAATTTTGTATAAGTACTTAATGAAGCATAATAAGTAAATGATAAAAATTTCAAAATGATTGCACTGCTTTAAAGCCTTTTGACCTTTAATAATGTGTGGATGCACGCTGATGTGCTACGCATTCTCCAACGCGCCTAGGCATGCCTCTGATCAGGTGGTCAATCTCCTCCTGTGGTATTTCATTCCAGGCAACCACCAACTCCTCGCGAAGTGCTTCTAGAGTCTGAGGAGGACGTTGCAAATTGAGCAGTCTCCTACCCATCATATCCCACACGTGCTCAATTGGGGATAAGTCGGGAGATCTTGGTGGCCATGGTAACAATGTTACATCATTATGTTGAAAGAAGTCTATTGTGACTCTTGCAACATGTGGTCGGACATTATCTTGTTGGAAAGTTGGTGCCAAGATAGGGTAAAAAATGGGGTTCTAGAACTTCGTGGATATAACGCTGCCCGTTCATGTTACCTCTGATGAAGATTAAAGGTGACCTGGAACCATAAGCTATAGCACCCCAAACCATAACTCCAACAGTGTGATGAACATGTCTTTCAACAGAAAACTGCGGATTCCTCCTTTCACCACGTCGCCTTCTAACCCTGGCACGAGCATCGTGCATGCCTACACAAAATCGAGACTCGTCACTAAAGACAATACTGTTCCATTCCTGATCCCAGAGTGACCGTTGTCTGCACCACTCAAGGCGATTACGTCGGTATTCTCGAGTTAAAGGGAGGACCCAGTGTGGCCGGTATGAAAACAAGCCAAAACTTCTCATTCGTCGGTAAACACTTCGCATGCCAATAGGTCTTCCGTGTTCTGCAAACCATTCATTTGCAATGGACCTGGTAGTGGAGAAACGGTCCCTTAAGGCCAATAATCTTAGGCGGCGATCTTCACGGTCTGTTGTTCTACGGCGGCGTCCAGTGCCCCTTGCTCTTTGCGTACGGCCTTCTCGAAGCCATGCCTGACAACACCTAACCACAGTGTCTACACTTCTTTGCACTCTAACTGCAATTGCCCGAAAAGGAAGTCCAGCTTCCGGAAGTCCCACTATACGGCCCCTATCAAACTCATTAAGTTGACGAAATCGTACAGGTCTCCGTACTCTAGGCATCGTAACCGATCGTAAAGGATGTCAAGAACCAAAATCCGCCAACGTTGATTCTTTACTGCGGCTGAAATATTCATTTTTAGAGCGTTAGTGAATTAAAAAAAAGCAGTATAAAAACCGGAATGTCCAACTGATAAGACTGAAAATTTTTTCACTTGTTATTTACAGTAAGATAAATACATTCACCAACTTTTATTAAAATAAAACCATTTAAACTGGATGTTCTGATTTATATGTCACTTAGTATATTTTAAACCTATAACATTCTGCTAAATTTTTATTATTTGTTTGATAAGAAAAAGACTAGGATTTCAATAGTTGGGCCAACTGAAGTGGGAAGGGGCTCGTAATGTAGAGAGAATAAATATTAACCAATTGTTCACCTAGTACTGCTAACAAAAAAACAAGACCTACAACATGACCTTGAGAGATGGGGTGAAACTGAAAACATAAACGTAAAATAAATATGAACAAAATGAAATGTATGAGTATTTCTAAAGACTCACCAAATATAGAATTGTGATTACTAATGAACTAATGCAATGAATAACACAGTTTAAATATTTATAAATAATCGTACCGGACGGAAGAGTAGAGGCAGCTAGCTAAATAAACACTTATTTAATAAAAAAGAAATGTCTACAAAAACAAAAAGTATGTTTAAGTCACTGTATATCCCTACCCTAACATATGGTTCAGAATTTTCGATATTGAGCGAAAGTCCGAGACAAAAAAATACAAGCAAGTGAAATGAAACCGTTAAGAAGATTCGGTAGTCAGAAGATTCTGGACAAAGTCAGAAATGTATAAATAAGAGACTAAGTGTCATATCTGTAGAACAAAAAAAAAACAAGTGAATGCGCCAAGAGGGTTTGAAGACATGACTGGAATGCTAAATGCAAGACTGGCGGAAAGGGACTGGATAATAGGAAAATTTAAGTGAAAGACAAAGGGCAGACCAAGAAGAAAGTGCAACGACGAAATACCATGGTACTCAAAACAAATGCATTTCGACTGGAAAGCAGCGAAGGATTAGCTAAAGACATAACAAGATAGAGAAAAAAACGAGGAAACCGAAAACGAGTAGAATGTCATCAACCGCTACACTGGCTAGATTCGGCCGATGAGAAATTGATTAAGTAACGATACTGTGTCTAATTAATGGGTATCGTTCACTTTTAATAGCTGTGTGTGCTGTCTCAACGTCAAGTATATGCTGCGGCTCTAATGTTTTTGCTTTATTGTTCAAGCAAATGACGATCGTTGTGCCATTCCTCCATAAGTGTCGTTTACAGCGGGTAGGCGTGGCGTGGGTTATTCGACTAGCTAGTACCTAGAACGAATTATGTCGATGAGATCGCTATCATACGAATACGATTTTTGATGTCAAATCCCCCACTAAATTGAATACAGGAGGTATTCCGGGAACATCCTGTATACCGAACCCGTAATCCTGCGGTGTTCTGCATAAGTCCATAATTTGATGCGCTCCCATGCACTGTCCACCGCAAAAGCCTGTGATCCTCGCAACAGCCGGTGTCACCGTTTCTGGTATACCTGATGCCCGATTATAATGTTATAAATAGGAATTATCATAACCTATTATATGCAGGGGTTAAAGGGCAGGTTAGTAGTCTGCTGACCAACTGGGTTTCAATATAAATGATAAATGGGACACAACAAACCGGATCTAACAGGTACGGTATATTTGAGAAACGATGATCTTAGACTTGACCTTGATGTATTAAAATCTAAGATTCACCTCTAAGTATCGACTGTTTTTCAGCTGAACTGGATTGTTAATAAAAAATAAAGCTCGAACTTTAGTAACTTTTAAGCTGTTAACTGTTCGATTACCGGTACAAAAGAGGGGCATACACCTATAGCCTGGAACACAACCTCTTAAACTTCCAAAAGTGG